TTCGAGCATGTTCAGTGATGGGATTTGAGCCGCGGCTCGTATAACAACCAAGCCATGTCATGCCTTTAGAGTCATAAATGCTTGTTTTATTGTTCTGCGTGAAACTTCAAAGTGGGCTATAATTAACGTACCCACCACAGGAATCGAGCCCCAATTTTTCGCGTTATAAGCTGTAGAAGCGAAATTTAAAAGTTTTGTTTGTTAGTTATTGTTAAACGCGATGTTACACAGTAGTCTATCCGTGCTCTGCCTACCGCAGGTATCGAAACTTGACATTTAGCGTTATAAGTAGATACACAGACTCAACGCTGAGCCACGGGGTTGTGGGGGGGGGGGAGACTATCTTTAGTTAAAGGCTCAAATCAAATCTCGCTTGTTATGTTCTTTTTTTTAGATGTTTTTATCAAAATTTAAAAACATTTAAAACATACTAGAGCAGAAAGAAAGATTTTCTCTTTTTTGATCATTTTCAAAGATTTTTTTTATTTGTTCCTTGTTAAGCACAAAGCTACAAAATGGGTTATCTGCGCTGTGCCCACCACGGGTATTGAAACCCGCTTTGTAACGTTATAAGCCTTCATACTTGTGCTGTGTCACTGGGGAAATTTTTAAATAATATATTTATACATCATCGCGAGCAAATAAACGTACGTATAGTTTACTGGCAAAATTACCAGATCCGTTTATTTGTTTTTAATGTAAAACCACACAATGCATTATCTGCGATCCATTCATCGCAGGAATCGAACCCTGGAATTTATATATAAATATATAAAGCTATCACTGATCCACCGGGAGACAGCAGATCAGACATCCAAAGTTGTAGTTGGTTGGTTGGTTTTGAATTTTGCGTAAAGCTACACGAGGGCTATCTGCGCTAGCCGTCCCTAATTTAGCAGGGAAAGCAGTTAATCATCACCACCCACCGCCAACTCTTGGGCTACTCTTTTTCCAACTAATAGTGGGATTCACCGTCACTTTATAACGTCCCCACGCCTGAAAGGATGAACATGCTTGGTAGGAGGGGGGATTCGAACCCGCAACCCTCAGATTGCGAGTCGAGCGCCCTAGCCACCTGGCCATCGAAAGTTATGTGTTCAAATAAAGACGATATACTGATTTGTATTGAAATTGTTACATTAAATGAAAAATTATGTGTGACCGTAACGTTACAATTTTTACAGGAACGGTAAGTTTGGGAAAAAGTATCAGGTACAGTAGCTACTTAATGGTGTAATCACTAAAAAAAAAAAAAGAGGTCAAATTAGAAAAATAGGTCGTGTACTAATTATAAAAAAGGCCAGATTACAAGAATGAATCTCTGTAAATAAGGCCAAATTAAAGGCCCTCTAGTAAATAAGGGGTGAGTTTACGGAGTTACAACGCTAAAATCCAGGGTTTGACACCCTATTGTAAACAAAACGCAGATAGCCTATTGTGTAGCAATTAAAGATGTGTAATCTACAAAAAGGGCCAAACAAATAGAAAAAAAAACGGTTCAGCCCTTCAAAGATGTCATGAAATAATCTAATTAAACAGAACACAGTTGAGACTAACTTACCCAGTCTCTCATTTTGTTTATTTGTATGTTTTAGAGCAAAGCCACATTGGGCTATCTGCTGTATCCACCGCGGGGAATCGAATCCCAAACTCTAGCGTTTTAAGTTCGTAAACTTACCGCTGTCCCATCAGAGAACCAAGTCGCTCATAGTCAGAAAACTTTATAGCAACTAATATAAAATATATCAATCAGTGGAGAGCTTTTTTTTTTCATTTAGACCAAAGCTTCACAATAGGAGATTCACGCTCTGTTCTACGTGGGGAATCGAGCCTCGAATTTTAGAATTGTAAGTTTATAATTTTACCGCTGTCCCATTGGGGGACAGGGTTAAATTTCTTTTAACCGTGTATTGTTGAGGTATTTGGAAAAATACTGTGTTTTCTTTTAGTTAAAAAGTGTTAACTGTTTTACTTTAACATTTCTACGTTTATATTAACAGTCCGTGTGTTTGTCGCACGTATTGTGTTCAACTAAGGTGTATAAATATATATAGTTTTTATGCTCACGCTAGTCAAACTTGGTCATATTCTATTTCCCACGATATAGAATATTTAGGTGGCAGATACATGTTTGTAACTTGACTTATTTGGTAAACATAGAGCCGGGAGTGGGTTAGTACCTTGACTGTGAATTCGATAATTTTTATAGTTAGCGACCGTTGCTTCACAAATCGTTTCATACTCTCTAACCGTGGGCGTGTTCTATTCAACCATCAAACAAAATATTCCAAAAGTATGAGCGCGCTTCACTATTTTATTTCCCTCTAGAACAGCTATGCGCAGATAGCACTTTATTTAGCTTTGCGCAGAAGTTTGAAACAAGCTGACTACTGTACTTCTTGAGAAATCTAGTTGCCCTTGCACATACTCACCCTCAGGCATGTATGGGGTCATCTATTACATAAAATGTTATTAACATATTTTATTTTGCTTAGTAATAATTTAATTTGATAAATGTTTGTAGCTTTAACTGAAGAAATATTATTTGTGGATGTACGTGGGTAAAAATCGACACGATCAACACTGTGACACAGCCTTTTTTTGTCGCGCGACATTTCGACTTTCCACATCTTATCTCGCGAGTGACACTATCCTCAGATCTCAGCTTTAAATGGCAGCGCTGCATCAGAAAAAAAAAGAAAAAAAATGGCATGTGTCTTACTGAGTGTTATTATAATCTGAAACTGACATTTGCTAGCAAAGTAATGGCTGGTGATGTGGGGACAAAAGGAGCTTCGTCAATCATATTAACAACTTATGAACAGTGCTCTGTAACTTAAAGTTGTATTGATGAAATGATACTAAGTAACATTTTATATCCATTTAAATTAAAGTGACTAAATTCTTGTGCAAATTTTAATTATACTCAGTAATATTTTTTCTTTCAACCTCGTACCATTTGCTCCTTTACTTTTTAAAACAAACCGCTAACTTTAAATCTATAATAATGTTTGGTTTCCCTATCGTGACATGTGACACTCTTATTTTTGCTAACTTTTGACACTGGACACTTTCATATAACTGACTTACAACACTGCACTAGTTTTTATGACCCCCACACCCACTTATTTTTCTGGGGGGAAAATATAGTACGAACACTCGATATATCTGTATTATATTTTCGTAAAATAGTACTGAATGAAAATAGATATTGACACCGTACACCCATTTGGTGGTGTTTGCAACATTAACCTTTACAAAAAGTCATAGCTTGTTAACGTTTATAACTTCTACCCTTGTAATTTAAATCTTCTAATGACGTCATAAGACGTATATTGACGTGATTCAAGGATACTGTTGCCAGCTGAGTATACTCTCAGTCCAAGTATTTTTTGTCTGTTTGTCGTGTGCCACTGGAGCTGTTTTAAAGTTTATTTGTGCCCGACGCCAGAGACGTAGTGAATGAATTGTTAATTTCCACAGATGTTGAATTTCATCGTATAGGTTGGTGTTTAACATTATGATAAAATTTAAGAGTTAAATACAAGGGCCTAACTTTTTATAAATAACAGTTTTAGCAAAATAATATTTGACTAGTAATAATAATAATAATAAAACATTGGACTAGAGAGTACGGTACAGCAGCACCTAGTATTTCTATGTTTTTTTTTCGGTGCAAAAACTTAATTTCAAAACGAAGAACAACAGCAACTGAATAAAACAACAACAACAAGAAAAAACGCCAGCGTACTTACTATAATCTAAGTTGCGTGCTTACGTTATATTACATTTTACTCAAGTCTTTGGGGGATGGATATCAAAATGAAAAATATTAGAAGTAGTAGGATTATATAAGTTATTAGTATTACCGCTGTCCTACCTGGGACATTAGTATTGGTATAACAGTTTATGTCAAGTATACCCGGTGAGATCTGTTAAGTATCGTCATCGATGTCAACCTCCATTTCTCAGTGTATTAGTATTACTATAGGGTTGAGTACGTTATGTTAAAATGATTTTTAAACATACAAATCAGCCGATATAAACTCGTAGTAGTACGGAATGTATCAGAACTACATTTTGACATTGTTTGGCGTTATTAGATAGTGTGATATCATCACAATCTGAGCGCTTTTGAGAAGGGTATGTAACAGACGGGAATATCTCTTGTACTTAATGACATTGAAAAAAAAAAGGAAGATGAATCAACCTGGCAAATAAGGATCATCCATAAAGAGACCTCAAAAAAGTCGTACCCTAGCCGTGGTAAGCAAAATTCTGACAGACGAGAACCCACGAACACAAACCGTCCATGTGACCTATGAAACAGTACGCATAATAATCAAAAATTTGTTGAAGCTGGATTCTTTTAATTTCAATATTTCTGACAGTTTGTTCCATTTACTGTAATTTTTCACTAATCAAGAAGGATTCCGTTTGAAAATGATGTCACAGGTTGTGGGCTCACCAAGATAAGGCTTATTTAATTAGTATCTCCTGTTCAACCGTCACATTTATCAAGGAGCTAGAGAATGAAACGAATATTCATACTACTCCATATGAAGATATATGGCCAAGTCGTCGGACTGTTAAAACAAAACATTGGAAACTATGATCCTCGTAAAACAAATGGCTTATGGAAAAGCAGCCAAGAGAAATGGTATGTTTCAGTCTGAAAATTTCAGACATGATAGCTTTAAGATGAAGTCTTTTGCAATGAAAACTACGTTGCAGGGCTATTGTCAAGATGTCGTCAGTTAGAGCAATACCATATGTGACAATGTGGACTGAAATGATGAGGTGAAACTTCAAAATCGTTTTAATATAAGGTTCCCAACCTTTTATAGTACTACGGTGTTCGGTAATATTATTTATACTAATAGCATCTGTGAAAATAATGTTATAAGCTGTATCTATATAAATATAATAGTACAGTCTGTTATATGTCCACGTAACTACTCCGCAGGGTGTGGATAGATCTTCATCAAAATTGGTATAGAGGTTCATTAGGTCTTTATATACAGGGACGTTTTTAACGTCGGTGCAATGCACCAACAGGCTCATCTTACTGCGAGCCCCCTAGTAATATAACAAATAACAGACTTTAAGGTGTTTCTTCAAAATAGTTTTATATATGTATATATTGTATATAGGAAAACTATTTAATTATTGTATTTTAATATGACAATGAATTAGAAATGTTATAGGTGATCATTACTAAGCCCCCCCCCCTTACGAAAATTTCACCGACTACTTTGAAGTCTTAAAAACGCCCCTGGGTACATACAAATTTTCGGTTTTGAATTTTGCGTTTTGAAATTTTTGTGGACGCTTTTACAATTAAGGGAAGCATCTTTTCATGTCCTAATATAACTACTCCAACTAGTTTTTAATATGTTGCCAGTTAGAGGTAGTTGCACTTGTTTGATGGTGTAAGCCTTGTAAGATGATGTTCAGTTTATGTTAGACCTAGAACTCTTTAGAACAAAACTTAGTTATATAAACGGGCTAATCAGTAAAGCCTCGAGAAGAGTTAGATGAGATAAATGAGTTATTCCAGAAAAGAGAGTTGTGGTCGGTGTTTGCTATCGCGGTAGATTATACAAGTAAGGTTATTTTTGTTTTGTAACTTTAAGTACACTATACAGTTAGAATGGCTGTGAATTTATTTAGGCTTACACGTTACAACAGTTTTCAAATTATATTGTAATAACGTTAAACGTAAACTTTTATTTTTTAATTTAAAACATAAAGGAAGAAACAAACTAATTTGTGACAGTTAATCTGATTAGAAGTTGAATTATTTTCACTTGATAACTTAAAAGAACCCACCAACGAAATAACTGCGCTACAAGTAGCGTATAGTATCAATAAATGAATAATTATGCAAAGTGCTAAAAAAATGTTATTACTAATAATATTACTATTAGTATTACATAAAATCATGAACTTGTGAGAACTTTGCTGTAATTTTAGTGTAAAATCTTGGAGAGAAATGGTGTCCACTTTATTTTATTATTCATACTGCTACTAGTAGAAGTAGTAGTACTAGATTGTTGTAATTAAGGTTCTGCAGTGTAGTTTGTAGGCTGTGTTTCCAAGAATCTATATGATTATGCTGGAGTATAGTGATTTTGTATATGATGCATGACAACAGGTCTTCCAGTTTTTGTACAGTTGTATTGGTTGCTGTTTTAACATGTATAATGCACAGATGTTCTATGATCAAATATATTTTGTTTTTCAAGGTAAGTTTGTTTACTGTGTGTAGGGAACACAAACTGTAGTTATTAAAAACTTGTATTTCAATTAATGCTTTTAGTAGTTCACTTAGTTCTTTGTAGAAACTTTCTTTTAACTAATTTAAGATCAGTCTGTTTCAAATTGGTTTTGATTCTGAGTGTACTATTTTATTTTTTTGCTTGTTTTATGAATCTGTATGTATTATTCATCCAATTGCATCAACCTGTGTGTAATGTATAGTTATGAATTTGAAACATTTAATATCCTCATCATGTTATTTAAAAACCATGTTTGTAAACTTGATTGTTACTGTTTTATTCTAATTTGAGTTGGTTTGAAATTTTCCAATTTTTTTGGAATATAAAAATGTATTAGCTTACAGTGAGTAAGTAATATTATTGGTTATACATATTGCAGTCAAACATAAATACTTCTTACTATGAACTCAAGAACCTCATGCTGTACATTGAATGCCTTCTTTTGGTTGATTTTCTCTTTGTTTTCTTAGCATTTACTTGTTGCAACAATCCTACAATGGTTATACTTCAACAGCTGGGGAGGACTTCTTTCCCAACAGCTGTGCATTAAAATTATTTCAATATTATGTGGATTTGGAGTTTTATACCTACCTCTGGGCTCATTACTGTATAATTGTTTGTATGTGGTGCTTGAAAGAATTTCATGTATGTCTCAGTGTTTTTTGTTGTTGTTTTTTACTCTTTCACTGCCATGGGGACTTCTGTGTCCCCCACAAGAGTGCTGCTATGCCAGTTTGGAATTTTATATCACATTGGAAAAAAAAAGTTATCCCATTTCCCAAAATAAATCAGTTTCAAGTAAGTAATGAATTGTGATATGCGGACATGTCACGTTTTCTACCCCCCCTTTATTAACAAGTAGAATTTTTCCAAATTTTTGTGCATACAAAATATAGTTAGCTCTCAATATAGGAAGTTAGTCAAGGGAACATCCAAAATCTCCTCCTAGTTACATATAACGATATGGAACAAGGCCACTTCAGTAGATCATCAAATGTATTTTATTATAGGGAAGATAACTGTAATAATAACATTGTCAGTGATTTTCTCTGTTGGAGAGTTGGATGATGTCCCAAGAGCATAACCTACTCTTTTACTGAATTGAAGGTGGCTAACAGTGAATGAGTAGTATGCCCTGATTACCCTGGCCCCTGTTTTTCTTATGTATGTAAGGCTAAGGTCTCTAACTATGAGAGAATACAATTCAAATTTTATTCAGACAGATGTAGGATTAGCTTTAGACTAGATAAGAAGTAAGTTGGGGGGGGAGGTTTGGAATTTTCAAGGTAATGATGAACAAAGCAGTCAAATGTTGTAAACATATACGCATGTATTAATATTATGTCAATTTTATTTTTGTAAACACAATATTTTAAAGAAGTAGAATTGCACAAAATTCAGAATGTCCTTATATTAAGCATTTTCTAACATTATAGTGGGCCCCCCGAACTGAATGTCATGTATTATGTGGCTGCAGAAATATTGCACTTGCATTGTATGCAAAACATTTTAGCAGAATAAATGAAAATTTCTCTCAAAATAAGATGTTATCTTTACAAGCAAAAAAACAACAAAAACTTGCCAAATAGTGTTACCTACCAGAAATCAGGATTATCGTCTCCAGTTTTACGCAAAACATCACAATTGGTAACGCACTATTGCTCTTTCAGAGTTCAAGAAGGTTTGAACTCTGTGCTTAGAAGATTTTGGACATGTCCATACCCTGCTAAGTAGGTTAGATAATTTGTCAAGGGATAATATCAGGTCTTGGCAAGCTGGTTTCATTGTAGGGAAGTTTGTTCCCAACTTTGAATTGAATAACTTTTATCTAATATGCATCATTAAAAATCTGTCGTTTTCTTAGAAAGTCAACAAGATTCATGATTTTTGAGATTGATGGAATTTGTGTAATTTCATGTTATAGTCTTTTACTTCTATCTAATTTACAAACACTTTTTCTGATTCAAAGAAGCTTCAGGCCAAGAAATAACTTTTCAGAATGACTTCACCTCCTTCAGAATCAAAGCTAATACCTTCTCGCAAGTATGGCATTTCAGCATGGGTGGGAGAGAGATTTGAAAAACTAGCTGGTAAATCAAATATAGAAGAATTGGGAACATCACCACGTGGAGAGGATTTTCTCAACAACTTAACCAGACCACAAGTTATTGTTACTGATGCAGGAATGGAAGGTAACTTTTTTTGTTATTGCTCAGAGAGAGTTTTTAAATAGATTCAATTTTCATTTCATGGTGTTGATAATTCAACAGCTGTATAGTGATTATGTATAAACATACTTCATAATAAACAAGTTTGCTTGAATGTTATTTTAATTTGTTATTATATATGCTTGCTAATGAATTGAAATACAAATTAAAAATTTATACAAAAACATCTTTCTATTTCTGAATATCTGTATAAAGATACTTGTTTAATTTGGCAAGTCTCAATATGTTTTTATTCTTCAAATGTAGAAGGTAAAACTTGTAAATAAAATATTCAAGGCAAAATATAAAACTTTTTATTTAATATTAAGTGAATTATTATTGCAGTATCAATTGTGTGAAAAGCAGATTTATATTTAAAAACAAACAGTATTTTTGTGTTTGTTTTTATTTAGTGAAATTGATAAAATGCTATATTTTCTTGATTCTAAAGTATAATAAGGCCTGTTGAATCCAGAATTTGTTGATATCCAAGCTACATTGTATGCCTACTTCTGGCTAGTTTGTTTTAGGGTAAAACTAGTTAATAAACTTCTCAACAAAAGTGGAAGCTTTCCTTTGGTTTTAGTTATGAATTAATTAATTAATCTTTATTGCATGAATAAAAAATGTTTAGTATGTAAGTTACCATGATATGTGTATATGCACATAAACAATGCATATTATGTTAAATGCTATAATCAATTTACAGAGGTAGTCCTTGAAAAATCTGGTTAAGTCAAGCATTGTATAGCTTTTTGTGGATGTAAATACTGTTTACATCAACTGTTATTCTAACTAAATAAATGTAATTTTTTCTTCTGGAGAAAGCTTGACTTTTTGTTCAATAATCTCAAGTGTTTAGCTTTCAACAAGGCCTTTAAAATAATAAAAAAATTGTTTTATTTTGTAGATTTACAAATCTACGCAAAATGTAATATTTTCAGCAGATAGTATGAATTGTTTTAGTAAATAAAACTTACTACTTTGCAGGAGCTCAATCAAAACAAAAATTGATTTCATCTGCATCTTCTCCAGCACTTTTAAATCTCATCAGTTTGAATGTGTCGAGAGAATGCTCTCCAAATGTATCTCCATCTTGCTCTCCTAAGGTGATGCGTAAAACACTGGAAGATAACTCACTCCAAGTTACTGCAGACTCAAATCATTTGGGATGGGCTACTTCAGGTTTTTTCACACATGGTAGAAATACTGCTAATTTCAATGCCCCATTATCATCAATTAAAGAAGCTCCTGACGTGCCTTCACCCATGACAGAAAATAAACCTTATTTAGGGAATAAAGGTGAAACACGTATGCGAAAGATTTCGGCTCCTGCCATGAGCCACCGTAAATGTGCTTTTTCCAACTTTGATATGAATGCTCTCAGTCCAACATCTTGGTAATGCACAAGTTATTTCAAAAAATGCTTGTCTATTGTATATAGAAGTAAAATTAAAATTTACATTAGTTGTTCAGTAGCTTTGTGTTACTTAGTACTTATGAACTTCTTTTTACAGTAAGAATATTTTTAAATGGGAAAATAAGATTTATTTGGTGTGTATCATAAAGAACATATGCCTGAAATGCTCTGATTTATTACATTAAACTTTTCTAGCTGAGTTTAACTTAAATCTGTTACATAAAGCAGGCTCAGTAGAAAGGGTGGGTTGCATAAGGGCCTGAAATGCACTGTATCAGATTTGTAAAAACATAGTGACAGATTAGATATATTATTTATAGTATGCTCTTTCTTTCCCTATACATGCTGTATCAAAGCACAGTGCACAACAGGACCTTTTGCTATCTGTTACGGCTAATATATTCAGACAAGATTGAAACCATATTTTCTTTTCATTATTTTTAGATCTAAGTCATTTTAGGACCTTACAGATGCCCACCCTGTTGAGAGCTATTGATACAATGCAAGTTTATTTTTATTCATTAAACTTCATATTTTGATGCAAGTTATTAATATTTCAATACTTCATGACTGTACAGTAAGGCAGTCCAAAAATATAATTATTTTGCATGATATTTGCCTTTATTCCCCTACCACTAACAATGTTGGAAAAGAACTGGATAGATTCATGTATATCTAGAGGTGGCACAACTTATAACACTACAGTATCATTATACGTTGGAAAGAAGGACAAATGAAATAGATATTATTATGGTTTTTATTCAGTAACAAAAACAAAGCTGTAAAATGACTAGTAAACTGAATGAAATTTTTGATAGTGTCAATCATATCTGAATAGCATATAACTGTAATAATAATAAGACAATTTATCATATCACTTATGTCATCAAATTTTCTTTTATGGGAGTTGGAAATGTCTTTTGGTTAGATTAATCATGCAAAGACAGTATTGCGTTTGATCTTTGCCCTTAACGATAGAAGAGTTAAATGTTTGAGTCAGAGCAATACTTTTATCTGTCCAGTCATTCACAACTTTCAAGCCAGCAGCTGCATTTCTTCATATTCTGTAATCCCTTTCCAGTCTATTGGGTCTTTCTCCAGGGAAGCCTGTGCTTTCTCTTTAAATTTCAGATGTTGAAAATGTTAAGAGCCCTCTTTGTTACATAAGATTGTAAGGAGCCTTAATATTAAAGTTCTAGTAGATAAAGGTTTTCTTTCTTCTCTGGAATATTGAGATTCCTCACCATTTTATGTTTAGTAGTTATCTGAACTCTGTCGTTCGATAGAGACAAACCAACAAAGTCTTCTGATAAATACAATAAGTGCTGTTTGAAGCCTTCCATTGCAGCATCAGCAACTGAACGAACTGGATATGCAGATAACTTTAACATCATGCTGTCGATATAGAAGGTTCATTCCAGAAGTGAGCATAGACCACAGCTAAGAAGAGACATGCTTGTGTTAAGTCCTTGATTTCTTGGTCAGTCAGTTTGAACTGTTCTTGAAAGAGAAATATTTTGATAGCATATAGGGCTTTAGCCATCCAACATGCATGATGATATGCTCTGGGAGCTCTGAATGACACTTTAGAGGGAGCCTTGCCTACTAGACACACAAGTGAGAGCTTTAATAGTTCTTCATAACCATCTGTGGGATATTTCATTTGTAACATCTTATTCAAGTAAAACAAGTAGGTGAATATCTTCATCATCATCAGCAGCCCTGAACAGGGATTTGTCAAGTGATGCCCATTGTGCTTGGAATCTTTTAAGTAGACCGATTTCTGGTCCACTTGATGTACCAATAGTTCTAACAAATACCATCGAAAGCATAATTTCAAATATATCTAGTGTCGGCAGGCAATCCAAGCAAGAATTCTTTCCAAAACTTGTTTGATCAATATGCAAGCACCATTCTTGAATCAAGTATTTGCAGTTGTATTGAAACAAATTCCTCAAATGATATCTTGGAGCTTCCACTCTTGAAGGACACAAACATCTGTTTGCTGCTTTCCTATGCTACGAGTGATTCTTGGCACTCCCCGGAGCAATCTGATCAAATTTCTCTATCCCTTAAATGATGTCAGGAACAAGCTTTACATCCCAATAAAGTAATAAGGGGATGATATGGGGAAAAGTTTCCTGCTGTCCTTTGGCAATCTTTTCTTGATTTGTACAATTAGACCACAACCAATTACAGTTGAAAAACTGTGTCACCTGGCATGATGCTGGATTGCCACTTCTTAAATCTAGAAATTGCGTGGTACATGACTCAATGATATTAAATTATAAAATATTGTACAAACTTGCACCATCCTTAAATATTGTTTTTAGTTCAAAATTCATGGGAAGCTCTCATTTATATCTTTTAATTTTTTTACCATACATGTGTGGACCACCCTACTGTACAGTTGCTTTTATGATGGAAATGCAAGAAAAACTTGGGAATGCACATGAAAATATATCAAAATTATTGTTGGTATTAAATACGTAATGTAATAGAAAAAAAAGGAACCGAGAAACATGAAGTGTAGTTAGAATGCATAGAAACATTTCTTGCAGTCCATGTTTAAAGGTAAAATTTACAAGATATCTATATTTTTATATGATGTATACAATATATTCATGATTAATAAAATTTACAATAGCTATCATATTTCTTGTGATGTGTAGAATATGTTAATGATCCATAAAATTTACAACATCTATAGTTTTTTTCGTGATGTCTACAATAAGTACATAATGAATAACTGACACTTAGTCAACTTCAGTATTAAATATTTCCCGATTCACTTAAATAATTTAGATCTTCGTACCTGTTATCCAATGTGCTGGCCGTAGTAATTTTAAGGTCTTTCTTTTCCAGTCTACAATATATCAGGCTTATATGGATTCCAGACTTGCTTACAGATCTTCATTTATAATAAATGGTATAAAATATCCATAAGAGAGTTTTGTACTACTTACATGGGTTCCAGATAACTTATGTTACTAAAATTAACCTGTAATGTATATCACGTACCTCTTATTGAGACTACTATTAGTCTTACACAATGTCATCTTGGTTACACTGGTCAACAAAATCAAACTTTTTTTTTTCTCTCTCATCAAAGATGTAAACACATTTTTCTAAACCAGTTTCGCATGCTGACTCCAAATCATGATTGGCGTTAATTCAGCACAATTTAGGTAGTTTACACATTAGGCTAGTTAACGTTACAACTTTATTCATTTTTCAGTATAATTTCTATAAACGTTATACACTTAGTTAAATTTATACAGTACACAATTATGAAAAAAAAGAAATGTACAACAATAATTAAGGCAATAAACTCTCAAATTTGATTGGTCTCTTCATGAAAACTTGACTTAATGTGCTAGAGGAAAACCAAAAACATATTTGGAATCAGTGTTCCAAGAGCTATCTAGTCTACTTATAAGTATATCTGATGAAAATGACTTGTTGGCCAGTGTTATCAGATAGAAGTACATCACACAGTAAAAAAAACTGTCCATGAACCATTTGGATGATTTACTCATGAAGAATCATTCGTTAAATGGGAACTATCCAAGCACAGTAGGCAGTTGTGGAATACCTTCCAAAATAAATGTTTGGTTGCTCTGACTCTATGACATAAGTAGAAGAGTGTTATTTGTCAATTCTAGCTCATCACTCTAATATAGTATTTGCTCTGAGACTGAATCTGATATTTGCAATCACAACTGGACACTGTCAAGTGTACAGACTTGTCAAGCCTGGCCAGAAAGCCTTATATCCAGTAGGATTCATTCTGCTTACAAAACAGGTTTCCTGCAAAGGTGCCAAGAACATGACATATCCAGTAAGTTAATGACATGAAGCCAGTTTTTACAGATGAATTTAGCTTTACCCTGCATCTAGATAATGGAGGGTATACTCATCTGAAGAGAACTTAGAACCCCATGATACATATGGTGATGCAACTGGCCTTGACTTCAGCATAAAGAATGATTATGCTCACCTCCACTGTGCTAAACTAATCAACACAATCTCTGAAGAGGAGGGGGATGGAATGGTCTACAGTCTTGAGCTTACATGTAAAGATCTACTGGTAATTGTTACATCCTGAAAATGGCTTCTTCAAAGCAGTGGTTGAAGATGCTTAAAGCTACAACTTATAAATATGACATCAGTCCTGGGCTGCTCTTGCTGACTATCCATTGATACTGTAATTTTATAAACCTCAACCAAATATCTGTTTACATGGATAGCCTGAATGACCAGTCCTTTGATTTCAGATTGCATAGCAAATTATCAGATGCCTAATTTACATAAAAATAAATTGGGGGGTTGGTTGGCTTAACACACCTAAAATATTATAAATTTCAAGTATCCTTTATTTTGTACAGTGCATTAGAGTAAAATTTCTGTGCCGTGGCAACAAGCGTAGTAGTGTTAGCTAAATAGATGAGCATATTTTAAGAAATTTTGTAAGACCCATAGAAAACAAATTTTATTGACAAATAAATACATCATTTTTCTTTCCTTACTTACAAAGAAGCATGGATGATTATACAAAAATACTGTCAACACCAGTTTAGATCATTGCTGAAGCACATTTCACCTGAAAACTAAAGCAAATATCTCCTCAAGTTCTATTGTTTGCATATAATTTAACGACTCAGCAAACAAGTTTCTTGCACACTTTTATATCGAAAGATTGTAAAACCAACAATAATTGATTTCCTCATACATTGTATGTTTATGAATATTATTAACAGCAACTATTTTCTTCTAACACTATTTAATTAGAACCAAATATTTCAACAATTCAGTATTGGTCTATGGATCTGCTTTGATGTTGAGAAATGCAGAATACAGTATTTGTTTTAACAATGTACATTGGACACTTAAATACACAGACATTTGATTGTTACTTCATGGAAAAAACAAGAATTACTAATAAGCATACATTACTAAATAAATTATTAATTTATTCACAATATCTACAAAAATTTTACCACAATTTGATAGATACATATACTCTAAGCCATTACATGTAAGGCTTATTTTTGGGTCCCAAAACTTCCGTTGTAGATAACGTAGAGAAATTCTTGCCATAAATCCAACTGGCAGCTGTGTCAAGAACATATTTTCTAATCTTACAGATGTTCAACATTAACAAAAACAAATTGAAAAATACTTTGATACAGTTTTAGAATTAATAACTAAAGAAACTTTTGTTACAATAAACAAAGTAAGTACTACATTTAATTGAGACAGTCCCTTTTAAAATGGTCTGTCATTGGCATTTCACTAATTCTATTTAAGTACAAGGGGGTAAAAATTTTTTATAGCAAAGCCACATCGGGATATCGAACCCCTGATTTTGACATTGTACATCTGAAGACTTAACCGATGTCCCACCAGGAGACTATTAACTACTAAAATCAAACTTGATATTATGTGATAACTGAAAAAAATTTCTATAATTTTAGGAAATTGTTAAAATCAATGCCTTGATTCGTGATTTACAGAGAAAAAAAATTTCTAGTCAGTATTAACTAATTTACCATGCTTAGACAAAATAGATAATTTCAGTGTTAGAAGTTCCTAATCATTTTGTAAGATAAATGTACTTAAAAATAGAAAATATTTGTAGAAACTGTTTTGAGATACTGAAAATGAAGGAATCTTAGTAGTTGAAAAGGGGTGTAAGATTAAATAGTGGAACAGCAAAACAACTAATTGATAATTTTTTGAAGGCTGGCTTCAGTGACAATATACTTTTGATAAACTGTTTTCTAAATGGAAAATGATCATGTAAAATCTCTCTCATTATACACTTAATAATCAAAAGCTTATCATAAATAGAATACTAAAAATATTTATTCAACAGCTATGCAAAACATGTCAGAAAAACTTTGCCACAAAGTAAATACTAACTTTTCCTTTCAACCCTTTACAGTGCTAGGAATGCCACTGACCACCACCAGTGAATATATACATTATAGACGATAAACCTACACAAAGGAAGTCTAGATGTTTCTTTCTATCAGCATATGTAGTAATGGATCTATAACAGATGTCACTGTTTGCATTGAGGTCAAAATAGTTAGTAACAACAATCTAGTGACAATTATGTTTTGTCTTAACTTGCATATAATACAAGTAATTGGTTGTAATTTCAAACCAAAAAGTTTAGATTCAATCACTAAATATAAGGGAAAGTGTCAAAACTATCAATAAAGGAAACCCAGGTGTATTGGACAAATGCAAACATGGCATAATGCCTAGGTTTATCTTTCAATATGTATAAAGGTTGGTTTCTTTGAGCAGCACATAGTTAGCCTTGATTCCTGTTCACATAAAGCTAAATCTATCAATATCACAAACAACAGAAAAACAATTTGTAATAAGTTCTTGAAGTTACATGTAATAATGTAAACAAGTGCTTCATTGATAAATTGAAAGTATGGAAATAAATCAACACAAAATATAACTATTTACCGTGGTAAATGATACTAAAGGTACGTTTTGATGTTTTTTAAAGTTCTTCTTTTTACTAAATGAATTTTCTGTAGTTCCCTAAGAAAAATAAAAAATGTAACATTGTTTGCACACTTGCTGTATATCATTCAATACTAGATTAACTATCAGCTTTGACATTTTCACTTCTGTTAGAGAAGAAAAATTTAGAAATGTTAATTATTATAATTCCTTATATCTGAAAAAAAAAAGGAAGTTGAAATCATATATATATACAATAGACAAACAGAGAGAGAGAGAGCAATTAGTGATCCAACACTAACAAAAGAGCAAGTGCAGAATATTTTTTTTTTTATAGTGTACTTGAGGTATTATAGCCAATAAAGGTAGATGTAGATTAAAAACTTTTGGGTTAATTTGGAGAAAAACTAGTTAAATTTCAGAATGGCTATTGACACTTCCTCCAATTAAGTATAAAAAATAAAATAAAAAAACCATAAACCTACCAAAAGCATGTTAAATAAATAATGCTAAAACATCACAAGTTTATTTTTCAAAACAATCTCAAAAGGTGCAGAAGAAAAGTTACAACTGAATAGTTGGAAATTTTCTGTTTTTACTTATTTATACAGAGACCATTCATTTTCAATTCATAATTGATATAACTGTTGTTCTTACATTTTTCTCAATTTTATCTGTGCCTGTGTGTATTGGGGATAAATAGTTCTTCAATTGGATGGCTCAGAATTTTATTTTCTAAGTTATTCACAAACTGTTTAAACACCTAAAACTCCTACAAGCTGGGCTTTAATAATTCCTGAAAAGAATGATTTTAATGGCCAATGTGTAGTAGTGACATTGAAAATATAATTTAATTAATTTCATACTAAGCATCTGATTACACATACACAACCACTAGGCTAGCAGATCATGAAAGTACTGTTGTTATAATGGGTGTCATTACTCTGGTCACCTATGGAGAAAGTGAAACAAACTGAGAAGGAAATAGTTATTAGAAAAAGTATGCTACAAATAAAAATGCTCTTGTTATGTGGTCTCTAATGTTGCTACAACTGGAAAAATAGTCAGCAATTAGTTTCGATTTGGAGATTTAATTATTTGCTGATTTGAATTTTAAACTTTGAGATGAACTCAAACCAAAGAAATATTTTCCATAGTTTTAAAAT